GAAAGAAAGAGCTGTCATCCAATAGACTTGCATTCCAGTCATGGCTTTCTTATTTTTTCTTTTTTTTAAGGTTCAACCTTTCTGAGAAGTGCAGGGTAAGCAAGAACCAGCAACAAATTATGATGTGCTTATAAAGTGTGTCTAAGGTTGTGATATTGTGATTCATGTAAGATAAATTGCTTTTTGGAAGGTTGGTTGTTTCTTCTAAAATTAAAACTGTTGGTAGTAGGTAAAACTTTTTTTTTATTGGCTGTTTCTGCAAATTTTTTTCCCTAATATTTCTGTGGAAAAATGAGTTTAGATAATTGAAGGATAATATGGTTGTATTGATTTGTTTAGAAATAGTTTTACCTAACTGAAGTTTTTCTTATTTTAATTGTACTTCCAGTGAAGAGAAGGATATTTTTTCTACTCAAAACTTGAATTCTGCAGTCATTGGTTAGAAAATATTATGTCATTAGGAAGATGTCCCTTGATATTTTTCTAGTTTTTTGATTGGTGTTTGTATCTATGTAATCTGTTATTTGGCATATGCATGCATACATGTTACATGAAGAATATGTGTGGGAGAGAAGATGTCTAGAGCTTAATTCCTTTCTGGTGTAAGCTGATGAAATCTTTGAAGTTAGCAGAACTGTATGCCATGTGTGCCTAAATTTCTGGCATTTGACTTGAACACTTTTTGCATTATGTTCTTATGTAGCTGTACTCTTAAGTGGATGAATACAGTTAACTGGAGTCTTAGGAACAAGTGGCAGTACGTTGCAGATAGGTCGCTTTTAGATATGAAAACCAGGTTATACCAAACAGATCAACAGAAGTGCTTGGGCTTGTGTAATACCAGAGTGAACTGGGACAGTGACAGGTGTGAACTGAACGCTGCAATGTTTCAATCGAGCAACAGGGAATTACTCTGATGCGTGGAAAAACTTGTGACAAAACTGATGTCTTTTCATTTTCAATTTATTGATGTCTGCGGTGCATTTCACCTTAGTGGCTAAGATGGAGATTAAAATTCAGAGAGTTACTAAAGAGGTTAAAGAAAACTTGTATTTGCTTAATGAGTTATGGTTTACCAGTTAGTGTAGTAACTTTTTATTGTGCTTCATTGAAAGTTAATGGCAAACGGAACGCCAGTTTAAAAAGAAGATTGAACCATATAAGCCAACCTCTAGCGCTGGGTTTAGAACATAGACATTTTACTGAGGTGGTTTCTCGCGAGGATTACTGCATGTTTCATGAAAAGTAAAGGACAGTTCCATGTTCAGTGTGGTATGAAATAACAAAGTTTATTATTGCCGGTATAGTTGTTATAGCTCTGCTGTTTTTCAGCACTCTGCCTAGTATTGGCAAAGTTTGCAAGGAAAGCTTGTAGATATTGCCAATTTTTAAAAAACACTTTTTAAAAGTAGCACAAGCATACCTAGACTGGAATTGTAAACTGGCATTAAAGCAGTTTGTATAAAGACTGTAAACAAAAAAACCCACAAACAACAAACCAAAAAAACCCCACAAACCAAAAACCCCCAAACCAAGCAAACAAAAAACCAACCCCCAACAAAAAAAACCAGCTGAGCATGGCAAAGGCTTTTCCTTAGGAGCGTACCCTGTTGCTGGTTCGTGACAAGGACTGAAACGATGTGTACATAAGAGAAAGCCCCATTCCTCTCCTGCACTCCCTTGTGCTGATTCTGCTTTTTTCAGAGGTGTGGGAGGTCTCATGCATCTGTAAGTGTATTAATTGGGTGTCTTTCATATCTTTACACCTTTCCTCACCTAGAAAAAGGGTAACTTCCTGGAGCTTTTTCTCGAGTGAGATGATGAAAAGCTTCTGTTGCCTTTTAGCTGGAATGACAAATGGCGAGTGATACAGTTATACTTCTAATACAATGTAGTGCTTCATCCTGTAGTATAGTATACCTGAATGACCTTGAGTGCTTTTACGTGTGAAAGAAGTTTTCTTGAGCTGGGAACACTATGCCATTATTTATTAATTACATTACAACTTGAGTACAGCTTTCAGGGTAGAATTCAAAGAGAATATTGATTTTAGAAGTACTATCTGATACACTTTGTAAAACAAAAACAAATGTAAATTTGTAACTTCCTTATTTTGGGGACCAAAGATGATTTTAGTATTGTACAGTGTATACTTTCTAAAAATCTAAGTTAAGCATTTATTACTCTACAGAGACGTTATTTACTGTTTCAGTTATATAGAAGGGAAATAAAGTAGCTGTGAGAGGCAAATAAATTTGAAACATTAAGATCATATGATATATGCACACGGTTGATTCCCCTCCCACCGACTTAGTTTTACACGGTGTGTTGAAGTGGTTGTAATATTTTAAGACTGTTACCCAAATCGCAATCATCTTAAAAAAAAAAACTGTGACAAAGTCTAAATTTTTTTTGACACTTGCTTAGAAAAGTGATATTAAATTGCTTCTCCCAGCCAGTTAGTCTTGCTTATAATCACTGAGCATATAGGGATAATCTTTTAGTCCTTAAGAGTGCTGTTTAGCTCCATAAAGGGACTCCAAACCCACTGTGAATAAATTAAAGCTAAACAGCTGAACCTTGTAGGAATGGGGTACTCAAAACTAATGGTTCTGATTAGTCCTCTTTTGTCAAACTAAGCCCTCAGATACGCAATCCCCATGTATTTTTGCACGTAGAAATGACGGTACATTTTGCAACCTATGCACAGACATCAAAAGATTAAGTAGTCACACTAATTCCTGCTCAGTGCCACTGACTGGAGCAACAGCGTGAGAAGTGTTGTAGGAATATATGTTTTCCACTTAATGCTATGTATGCTCAGTTTTGTCAGCCTTAGTGCAAGTTTATCATAGGTTCCTGTAATGCTGTGCAAACTGCCTACAATGGGAGTTTCTAACACCGTAATTAAGAACTGATTGGACAGTTTCATTGCTTCTTAGTAAAGTTGATTCCTTCTTACTCTCCACTTGTTCCTTTCATTTTGTATATTCATGCCTCATCTAGCTTATGTTTTAATATTTAATTTTTGTTACGCCTCCTTCATTGATCTGTATAGTGTCTGCTTCAGTGTAAGGAAGATAAGAATACTGTGTCCAATGTCCTTTTGCTTAAGTATGGTACTCTTCCCTGTTACGATAGCTTATGATGTTTGGGCTGGATGTGCTTGGGGAAATTTTCTTCTTTCCCCTAGGGCTTTGGAAACTAGCTGGTGTATTGCATGTGTTTCTGGGCAAGCTTTCTGTAGGAGCCACATGCTTAGAGGTTGAGACGATTAAGAGATTCATCTACCTCTGCATTTTTTTGAGAGACAAGGTACTGACTCCAGAGATTTGATGCCTGTATTTCAGTCTGTGCTATTCAGCATGGGCTTTGTCTTCAGAAGTATGGCACCAGCAGCGAGCTGTGCCGTGGAAGCAGCTTCTCATCTTTTGCTTATAAGATGTCTTTTACATGTGAATTTAAATAATATCAGTAATATGAGGTGCTTCCTCATAGGTTTTGTCACATGTGTTTGACTGTGCATCTCATGATATGATCTACAATTGTTTTATCTGTTTGTATTTTATTGTTGATTGTAGAAAGAATAGGGGAAAACTGGGGAAAGTTTCCAATCTTCCCTAAGATAATATTGTTTTACTTCCCCCCCATGAAATATTTTGTACCGTATGATGATTGCCCCTTCCTAACACAGCAGACTTACTGGTTCCTAAAATGCTGTGGAATACAGCAGGAGAAGAAGCTGTATGTGGACTGTTATGAGTGAATTAACCACTGGTTTTCCATTAACTTTAGGTTCCCTAAACAAATTTTATATTTGTCACCTTTGTGCTATTTTGGGGATGTGCAGGCACAGCAAATGCTTACCTAATATGTTGTTTTATTAATGCAACAGTTTTTTTTCCCCCTTCTTCCTTAGTCCTTGTTCTGTATCTGTTATTTTCTTGTCTCATCACAACTTTGTAGATGTTCCTACTTGTTCTCTTTTGTGAGGCAAAAAAACCCCAAAATAAGTAAGACTAATGTTTTTAGGGCATAATTTAAAACAAATGAACAAACTTAACAGCAATTCAAATAGAATAGAAAATAAGAACCTCTCTCTTACTCAGATGAGATACTGAATATCTTTGTATGTGAACATCAGAGCACAAAGAATAGGCTTTACTCTGAAAGCTCTGGAGCCAAACATCTTCAGCAGGTATTTAGGATAAGTAAAAAGGTAGGCACAATCTGATTGTGAATTTGAGATGTGATAAAGGGTGAGAAGGAGAGAGAAGCCCAAACTTGATGCTTAATAATCCAGTGCTTTCAAAATGATAGGTGAGCATTGATCATCCCCAGCCGCAGAAGGAAAGATTGCTTCTGTGCTTTATAGAGAAGGGGAGAGACACTTGGAGTCAGCAGTAAAAGTAGGTGTAGAAGTGTTTCCTGTTCCTGACTCCGGGGCCGTGCTGGCTGTGTAATACAGTTGGAGAGATTCTACAGTGACGTTGTTAAAGGTGCATCTTAAAAAACAGATCGGTGTGATTACCAAATAACTTCTGCTCAGCTGA